CTGCCTTAGATTCCGAGATATTCATTGAAAACATCAGTAGTCAAGATTAACGTAAACCATTTTATCTCTTCGCTACTGAAATGTCTCAATAGAAATGAAATTCCCTGGGTTTTTTCATGAAATCTTTAAGAAAAGAAAAAATGTCTCTTGTTATCGTTTGACATGTCCACTTCGACAAGAATTTTTAGTTCACTGAACCCTTTTAATTCAAACCCCCCGAGAATATTCTTGAAAACCTCCAAAAGCCCCTGACGATGAGTTGAGAATATCCGGCTTTGTGATGCACCGAACATCGTCGACAAAAGACGTTAGGATCCTTTTATATCTCAGTCATTCGTGCTTAGAATTTACGAACAGAAGACTTCAGTCATTTGGATTACCTCGAAAACGCAGTTCATCATTCCTTTCGTGTTTATTCTCTTCAATTTTTAATCCACCCTTTAGCTTGAATGAATTTGACACCAAAATATTCTTCACAATATTTCAAAAGAGGAGAAAAAACTATTGAAAATCACTTTTAAATTGGGCATTTCAAGAATTTTTTGTGAAAATTCTATTTAAAAATGCAAAAGTCTGATGAAAATTCCACTATTTTCACTAAAAATATCACGAAAATACTGTCATTATCATCCAAAACACTTTAATTTTTGCTACTTATTGCATTTTCTACTAGAGTTCTGATAAAAATCCTCTTAAAATACCAAAACATTTTTTGCTTTATGTAGTTAACAAATTTCTACCTGAACCCGCCAAAATTCCCATTGTTCCCTGCAATAAATCCCTCATTAAAACTCACTATAAGCGGATTCTACATGGGAGTAATTGCTGTCCGCCCAAATCGGCCGACTTATGGATTCCTAAACGATCAAATTAGCTTCCTGACTTGTCATGAACAAGTTGGGCAATTTTAGTCTCCCCTAATGAGGCTCATTAGAACCATTTTCTCTAATGACTTCTGTTTGCGTCCGTCGTCAAGAGGTAATTACGTCTAGGAGACTCGCTTGTTCGATTTTTGTTACTGTTGAATACTTCTTTCTCGAAAACAATAATGAGATAATTTCATTTGAGGAGATGATCTGAAGAATTAAGTCTGCAGGGAAATTGCAATAAAGAATAAGCCTGAATTATTGTCTATTGTTTTAGAACAAAATTAAGGCCGTGACTATTCGCACCATTGCGTGAATCACTCCCGTACACTCCATACACTCCACGCATGCGTGAAGTTTGTGTGTTTCACGCAGCCGAATTTTCATACTGCTGTGTATTTCACGCAGTTGAAGTTTCATACTACTGTGTGTTTCACGCAGTTGTATTTTTATACTTCTGTGTTTCACGCAGTTGTATTTTTATACTTCTGTGTTTCACGCAGTTGTATTTTTATACTTCTGTGTTTCACGCAGTTGTATTTTTATACTACTGTGTGTTTCACGCAGTTGTATTTTTATTTATTTTACACAATAATAGGAGTGCATTGACGATTTTTTGTTAACTCGCAAAAATCTTCAAACAATTTGCTACCGATTGGTGATAAAATTTTTTGGAAATAATGAAGTAGGGGGGATAACGCCTTTTTTTTCAGGGGAGATTTTTCAAAAATTTATTTTAAAAAAAGTCCTAACTAGCAAATGTTTTTTATTAGCTCGCAATTTTTTTCAAAACTACTTCAATGAGGAAAAAAATAAAAATTTGGAATATCTATACATGAGGGGCTAATTGATCGGATCTCATAGTTTCCGAGATAATCGCGAAAAACGAAAGTGCCAAAAAAAATTAATTTAATTCATCTTGTATAAGGCCTAGGAAGTGGAAAAACGCAATTCTGAGCCATCCACTTGCCTATAGGGGACCCAAATTTGGTTTTAAGGCTCTATCTCTCATAGTTTCCGAGATAATCGCGAAAAACGAAAATGCCAAAAAAAATTAATTTAATTCATCTTGTATAGGGTGTAGGAAGTGGAAAAACGCAATTCTGAGCCGTCCATCTGCCTATACGGAACCCAAATTTCCTCAGGAATCGAATGGAATAGGTTTTAAGGCTCTATCTCTCATAGTTTCCGAGATAATCGCGAAAAACGAAAGTGCAAAAAAAAATTAATTTAATTCATCTTGTATAAGGCCTAGGAAGTGGAAAAACGCAATCCTGATGTATAAAAATACAACTGCGTGAAACACACAGGTGTATAAAAATACAACTGCGTGAAACACACATGTGTGTAAAAATACAACTGCGTGAAACACACTGATGTATAAAAATACAACTGCGTGAAACACACAGTAGTATGAAACTTCAACTGAAATACACAGCAGTATGAAAATTTGGCTGCGTGAAACACACAAACTTCACGTATGCGTGGAGTGTATGGAGTGTACGGGAGTGATTCACGCAATGGTGCGAACAGTCACGGCCCAAAATTAAAATGTCTTTGATTGTAAAATTAAAATGTATTTTTGGCTCATATTTAATGTTCAAAAAATAATCAAGGGTCAAATGGAAGAGATTTGACCCTCAAGAAATTTCCAACCATTTCTGTTTTCCCCATCGTTCCACTTTGCCCCATTCCCCCCAAGTCACAAAGTAACTCTCCCCATTTTTCATCCAATTATAAATCAGCCACCAGCTACGAAAGAAGAAAGCCCAAATATTATCAGAAATAACAAAAAATATTATTGGACATGATCATTCACTCTGAACTTCAAACTCTCGTTGTTGACTCTCTTCCGAGGGTTAAAGACCCGCTCAATTACTAATTCAAACCCCTAAATCCATGGCAAGTCATACGTTCTCAAGGGTCAAATGGGAGAGATTTAACCCACTTGACCTTCAAGAACGTCTGCTCCTGTTCACTTCAATCTCTCTCCCGTTTGACCCTCATAGACCGAAATTTCGTACAATTTCACTTTTTCCCCTTTCTTCCCAAGGCACAAAGCAACTCTCCCCATTTTATCATCCAATTATAAATTAACCACCAGCTACGAGAGAAGAAAGCCAAAATATTATCAGAAATAACAAAAAATATTATTCCACATGATAATTCACTCTGAACTTCAAACTCTCGTTGTTGACTCTCTTCCGAGGGTTAAGGACCCTCTCAGTTGCTAATTCAAAGCCCCAAATCCATGAGTAGCAGCTTCTATTTTAGTCCTCGCAGGGGATTTCCTAACCCAAACGTGAGTTCCCGTGAACACGTGCGCATTGGAGGTCTTCTTTGTCTCATCCAGCAGTTGTTCCCTCTTCATTTTCATCGCAAATTGCTCTTTTCTGCGCATCCGAGCGTAGTTGTTGTTACGGGTTCATTGCCATCTGTCTTTTTTTAATCACTCGAGTTTTGTCTTGTTCCCGTTGTATCAATGCTGAGTTTAATTACCCGTAGGACCTTGTGGACACTTCACCCGAGAGAAAAAAATTATGTTGAGTCACTTATTTTTAAAGTATCGAGTGATTTATAATTTTGTTTCTCGGTCTAATCTGTAAAATTAGGGATAATCTCTCTATTGTTAAGCGAAAGGTCTGTGCGGCGAGTTTTGGGCCTTCTCCAGGGCATCAATGAGTCATTTGGGGGCAGGAGGGACGTACCCGAGGCCCCGTTGTTTACCAAAACAGAATGAGTTAATTTTACTTGAAGATAGATCAGTTTTTTGCAAGATAATTTCAAATTTTTTGTGAAGATCCTTTTGTTACCGATCAAATTTCCCACAAATAAATTCCTCCGAAATTTTCCCTTTAAATCATTCTTCATAGAAAAACGAAACAAAGTTAAATTTTAATTCTTTTTCAATTCATTTAATGCCTCAATGAGACTCTGGTGTTGTTAGCCGAATTTGGAAAGAGAGATTTTTCGTAGAGTTCGATAGCTCAGTTGGAAGAGCACGAGACGCGTAAGCAAGAGGTCCCGAGTTCGAATCCCCGGTCGGTCGCCGATTTTTTCTCTCTGAATTGTGATCTTCTTCAGATCAGAAACACTTCACGAGGGTCAAACGGGAGAGACCGGCGGAGTTGACGAAAGGGTTAGGTGGGAGGGACAAGGGGAGTTATCAAAAGGGTCAAACGGGAGAGCAGGCAGTTATTAGAAAGGCTACATGTTCTCAAGGGTGGAACGGGAGAGATTGGCGGAGTTATCGGAAGGGTCAGAGGGAGAGTTAAGCTAAACAATAAGAAGGCCCCTTGCTCTTCCGTTTAACCCTTTCCCGATGGGAGAGCGAAGGTTCAAATGAGCCATTTTTAATCATCAATAACTCAACATCGGCAGAGTGAAATTCAATAATTTTTTTTTCATTTTGAAGGTATTTTTTCCGTCTTCAAAATAACACCAAATTCACCCAAACCACATCATTCGATCATGAGATATTGATGATTCTCGAAGGTCCGTTTGAGGTGGGAGGTATCTTTTCCTAAACTCGAGAAAAAGTTCAATTCTTCCCCGAAATTTCATAATTCCCCCCCAAGAATAAATTCCCTCGATAACATTAACATCGTTTCTCCGACTCGTCAATCATAACCACTTAAGTCGAACTCCATCAGTTCAAAAATACCCACTCTCCTGCATCATAAAATGACTTCCTCGAAAAAAACAAATTCATGATAATTTCATCCTCTCAATAACAAGAATTGACACTGAATTCACCCGAACCCAGTGCATTCCCCGAATCATTACGGCGATGACGTCATCATACCGTAGCACGTTTAAACGTGTATAATAATCGTGTACCTGAACCGAGAAGCNTTCATGATAATTTCATCCTCTCAATAACAAGAATTGACACTGAATTCACCCGAACCCAGTGCATTCCCCGAATCATTACGGCGATGACGTCATCATACCGTAGCACGTTTAAACGTGTATAATAGTCGTGTACCTGAACCGAGAAGCGCGCGCGCCCCAGTCGTTATACCATTGGCCTCAAGAAATCGACGGAGTGGGGGGGGCGGGGCGGAGGGGGAGGGGGGCAGTACGACGTTGTCCCAAGTGTATATAGTTTCACGAGTTACGTTAGGACTTCAGTCAACAGCAGGTCTAGACCAGTCAACTGTCGTGACTTCCGAGTTTTCAAAAAAAATTTCAAGTTCAAAAATTTTTTTGTTGTGAAAAATTTTGAAAAGATTTTCGATTTGAAATTTTTTTTTTTTTTTGAAAAGTTGAATTGTGTGAGACATTTCTGTCGATATTTGATTGTTGAGTGAGACTGTTTACTCATGGAGACTTACTACGAGACGTCTGATTTACCCATGTCCCAGCGTGTACCAAATACCGGATTGTATGACGTTATGGTTGATGATCACGGGTATTACACGCTGTATCCGAACTCTGGTGCCTGTGATCCGTGGCAATTGACTAAGGATGACAATCCCATGGTAAGATCATTAAATTAATTGATAAATTGCTCCTGATGAAAATTAGTTGAACCGTTTGCAGTCGTTTTTGGAAATTTCAAAATCCTTAATTTATAAAATTTCTGAAAAAACTTCAGTTTGAAGAAAAATAATGGAATTCTCGGAAATTGTCCAACACATTAATTAAAAAAATTAGTGGTGTTGTTGTTTTAATGATTAATTTTGCGATTTTTTAAAAGAGATTTGCCACGAGGTTTTGATTTTGATTTTCATTCAGACCGGATTTTGGGGTGGGAATTGAATTTATGAATGAGTTGAGTTTGTGGGATGCCTTCAAGGTCAAACAACAATGTCAGGATGGTCGATTGTCCCAGATATTGAGTGAAGGAATGCGGAATTCAAGCGAATTATTGAACAATTTCTCGAGAAAATACGGAATTTTCATTTTTCAAAAATCACTTATTAATTTTAATTGGAACTTTAATTGAGTTTGAGATTTTAAATGATGAGACAACTGCTTATTCAAGTGTTTGGGACAAAGTTCAGTGATAAGCATGAAGATAATTAATTAACGAAACAGTAAAATGACTAATTAATTAGTACAACGCCATTTCCAGATTTTGGTTTTTATCAAATTTCTCGGAAATGAAGGGAGATCGCGAAAATTTTGTCTCTACATTTTTTGCAGAGAATTTTCTCAGCTACAAAAAATCTTCCGACAAGAATTTCGCTATTTCCCAAAGATCCCGAGATATTTTCAAAAAACCTCGAGTGGAATTCGCACGTTCTCTTCAATCATCAAATTAAAAACGCAAAAGGAAGATAAATCAGATCAATTCTGGGTTTCGCAGTGCCTAATAATCGAGAAATTCTCGGAAATATTCCCTCCCCCTCATTACATAATCGCCAGATAAAAAATTTAGCCTGAATTCACGTCTCCTTCCGAGACATCATAACTAATTCAATTGACTGAATTTTCATCGCCCTCAGGAATTTCAAGAATTAAAACACGAAAAAAATTGTGATGAAGAGTGAAATAATCATTAATGTGGGGGAAATGGCCGTCTCGAAGACGCTGGATGGCGCCAGTGTTGGTGAAACTTATGAAAAACGTTGAAATCTGACAGGAAACGAGGAGTTAATGCTCGTTAACCCGTTCAATTAGTGGGTTTAGTTGAACGAGGCAGGGTTAAGTTTTGTCGGGAGATGAAATACAACGGGTCATAAGGCAAAAGGTGCTATTACATCCGCAAGTAACTCCTCCGCTTGTTCTTGATGTCTATTTATTTTGTCTCGTGAAAATACGTGAAAGAGAGAATATAGGGTGTCAACACTTTTGTTAATTTGTTGTTGCATTTTTTTTATCGAATAGAAAGATGAAGTGGGAAATTAGAATGAAAAATGTTGGATACGTATTTTTTCATTTTGAAAAATCATGAAAAATGAAGGAGTTACAGACAATTTAAGATAATTTCATTTGCTTTTGGTTAATAGTCCAATGACCCTCACGGCCCTTTGACCCTCAGGACCATTTGACTTCTAGAAAACTTTTGTTTTTGTTTTTAGTTCAAAAAGAAATGGTTATAAGGGCCAAGTGATACTCAAGGACGTTTGGAATTGAGTGTTAAATCGTATTGAGGGCAACCGATCCTTGGAGTTATGCGGGGTCAAGGGTCAAATAACCCTTTCTGATCTCTGTGCTCTGGTTTATTTTGACCCTCAAGACCGTTTGACCTTTAACCTTGAACGTTCTCAAGGGTTGTTTGATCCTGAAGTCCATTTGACTCTCAGAAAACTTCTTTTTTAGTTTAGTTCAGTTGATGGTCAAATGACCCTCGCCGATGTCCAGGGTTAAGGGTCAAATGGCCCTTTCTGATAATTCCTTTCCAACTCGTTTGACCCTTAAAACCATTTGAAATTTAACCGTAAACGTTCTTACGATTTTTTGATCCTCAATACCATTTGACCCGCAACTCCAATTGCCCTCAAGGGTCGTTTGACCCTTATAATCATTTCATCCTCACCCCCGAAAATCATCGAATGGTTTAACCCTCAAGACAATTTGATCCTAAACCGAAAACAAAGTTTTATTGGCTTAGGGTTAAATGGTCCTTTGAGGGTTAAACGCCAAATTGTCCTAACGGATAAAAGACTGTTGCTGATCTGGAGCGTCAGGGGCAATTGACCCCCATGTCCATTTGACTAAAAACAAAGAAAAAGTTTTCCACACTCGTCTCAAGGAGTCAAAGGGTATGGTCGTAAGGGTCAAAAGAGCCTTGAGAACTTTTGGAGTTGAAGGTCAAATTGTCTTAAGGGTCAAACGACCCTTGGAGACGTGCCGGTTTAAGTGTCAAATTCTGATCATTTTCTTTTAACCCATTTGAACCTTGATCGTAAGCGTTCTTAAGGGTCTTGTGACCCTCAAGACCATTTGATCCAAAGTTTCATTAGTTTTGGACCAAATGATCATAAGGATCAACCGTCAATTTGTCTTGACAGACAAGTCTTGGAGACCTGTAGGGTCAAGGGTCAAATGACCCCCAAGACCATTTGACTCAAAACAAAAAGAGAGGTTTCTGAAGAATTGTTTTTTCTCACTTCCGCGATTCTAGGCTGATATTCATCCATCCCAGTGACACACACTCGTCTCGCGTCCTCGGTAGTCACGTCATATTCACCCACCACAAAAAAAAAATCACCGTCTGTCGCGAGAGAGATCACTCCCGGGAGTGCCCCAAGGCGCCGGTTTTATTTTCGAGTCGGTTACCTCAGTTTCGCATCGGCTGACTCATCCTCTCATAGACTCATGAATGAAATCTACGCGATCATACACTACTTCCACAATTTTTCATTATCCTCGTGCATTTGTTCAACATCGCGTTCGCAAACTGGCAAGTCGCGATTACCCGTGAGTCATCGCGTTCTCGGAAGTCTCAAGTCCACATCATTTTTCCCATTTTCTTTCTTCACGCGATCGATTGCATTAATTTCAATAATTCTAATGATTTATTAATTTTTTCTTTTTAATTCCATCTGGTGTTTTGATTTACGTGAGAAAATTATCTTCTCTTACTCACTCGCGTTTGATGCTTCCGGGAAAGGATTTTCAACTTGATATGACGTGAATGCAAGACGTGACCTTGAAGTGTCGGATGTAAACTCCGGTTTTTAACGCGAACATCGATAAAACTTTCTCGGGGATTTTTCGGATCCTCGGGGAGGGGATTCTGACGACAGGTACTTTCCCCGGATTTATCTCGAACTCGTGACGTTCATCTGTTCCGAGAATTTTTTTTAATGATTTTTTTTTGAAAACTGGTTTTTTGGTTTAGAATTGAGTAACTGCGGAAATTCATTTTGAAATTTTTGAGGGGGCGATATCTCACTATCGGCAGAGTGAATTTCAACGATTTTTTTTTCATTTTGAAGATTATTTTTCGTGGTTCAATATCAGATGTGACTCGTGGGAATCGGATCGTCAGTTCTGGAGATATTGACGATTAAAGAAGATCAGTTTTTTCTGTTTCTGTCGGATCAACACTCACAGCGAGAAGTTTTTAGTGAATATCTCAAAATCCGCTGGAGATACAAAAATTATCATCCGTACCTTTTTTGTAGCTCTTGAAATTCCCTACAAAAAAGTTCTCTATTGTTTTTTTGTATCTCTAAGGGATTCCTACATATTTAGCAAAAGCGTAACCAAAAATGAAAAAAATAATAATTTATCCAGTCTTCCATCCAAAATCCTCATTTTGCCCCACCCCAACATTTCCCATTTCCCCAATCTATCATCTCGATGATAAACGGCCCCCCAACCCCATTCAAACCTCACAATCGTCCCGTCGCATTTGAATTTCATTTCCACAGGCCGAAACACAAAAAAACTACGAGACCTTAAATTCAATTTTAATGAATTCTAAAACGAAATATTATCTCCAATATTTTTTTCTTTCAAATCTCCCCGCACCCACATAGAAAGCACCACACAGGTAACAAAAGCCCCGTGACAAAGCCCTCTTATTGAAAAGAAAGAAGTGGAAAAAAAAAATTCCAGAGATATTGACGTGAAAAATAGAAAAAAGTTGAGATAGGCTCTGACACACGTGTGTCTGAGCGGTAACACCCTCATATGTAGGTGAAACTTTTATATGCGCATTCTCGAGGGTTCGAGTAGAGAGGATGGAAGGAAGAGTGCAGCATACGCGTCGGAAATGCCTTGGGGATTGCGTCAGTGGTGAGGAATTCACGGATAGTTTTCGTTAGACTTGAGAGAAATAATTGTCCTATCACCTCGGAATTTTATCCCTGTACTAGACAATTACATTTTATTTTCAACAATTGGCTAGTGGTTAACGCATATTACTAATCATTATTATGCATTTATTTATTCATTAAAAAAGGAGTTAATATTCTCGCTCTCATTGGGTTTAGATTTGAGAAAAATTTGTGTTTTTTTCGATTCACGCAAGAATAAAAATTATTTGTTCACGGAGTTTCATTCAAAAAAATTTTTCCTTGTTTTTTGCAATTAATGCGTTACGAGTTGTTTATTAGAACAATTTACTGAATCTACAAAAGCAAATTACAAAATTCAGTAGCGAAGTGGTAAAACGATCAAGTCGCTTTAGCTCTTAGCTGAGTCTTCAGGAAATATCTCCGAATCTAAGGGAGATAGCGGAATTTTTGTAATGACCTTCTATGTAGCTCTGGATTCGCTCTACAAAAAAGGTAGTAACGAAAATTTTGCTATCTGCCTTAGATTGTGAGATATTTATTGAAAACTGACCAATGGTCAAAATCGACTTCGCTACTGAGTTTAAAAAACATGAATTATTTCCTTTTATTGTATCATTTGTGCATCTCATTGATTAATGAATAAAAAGAATTGTTTAAATTTAATTTTCTAGTAGAATTGAAAACTAATTGTCTCGATTTTTTTAATGGCCGAGACGTGGAGGTACTAGAGGATACAATAAATGTAAAAATGGAGATGAAAAAAAAAAGAGTGAGAAGGTCGACTG